TGTACAAAGTGTCTCACAGATGTCACGATTCGAGGACATCGCATCTAGTGTTCGTGGTAAAAGAGTCAGCCGGTTCTAATGACAAGTTACAGGGAATCACTGGATCAGATTATCGATCACAGCGAGATATGTTCCAAACTTCAAGTAACCTTCGTCACCTTTTAAGTTATGGCTTTCTCTGAGTCGATGTGACTTAGAGCAAGTGCACCTCCTTACCTGTAGCGTAGAAAGACTTTTCAGTTATACAGCTTGTACCAGATCGACAATCATTTACAATCGTGTAATGCCTGCTGCTGCACTCGCCGGACGGCTTGTCTTATTTCAATCCGAGGCGAGAAGGTCGACGACAAATCTAGATGCGACTACTGCCCAGCAGTAGTCCTGCAAATACCATCCAGATGGTCTTTGCATCCAGGATCGTGACAACTAATTCCAAAACTACCTTATTCACAAGTGTAAAACTCGAAGCATCAATGTCGAACTAGAAGTTAATTTTGCGCACCTCAGACTCAGATAATCATAATCTTGCAGGTCCTGAATCTATATCACTTGGTGAGATCGATGCGGCCTTGGCGCTACTGGAACGTGAGCGCTAGCAAGAAGCCATGGAACGGCGAGTTGGTGTACGATGAACGTTTGAGCTATTAGCAAACACTATTATGTATTAGTAAGACCTTAGTCATAACACTAGGACCTCTGACACTTCAGATGCCCCTATCAGCAACATACAAGCCCCTGACCTAGCAACAGGAATGGGTGCCGGTTGACGGAAATGAAGTGTTGGAAGGCTAATTTGAAGAAGTGGAGCATATTGACCGAGGTCTTCTACCGTTTCGCCACTTCTGCTAGTCGTGCCGGTTTGCAAACAATTCTACCTCAGCACTACCGACAGCCACTGCGATTCCTGTCTTTTCATTCCCAACGAAACTGAACTTCCATTGGTCTGCACTCGTGGATTTAAGTTTTATATGATATCTCGCTCGTAGATCTCTGGAGGCTGGGCCGCCTTCTGTCAAAGTGCGCCACAGTCCCAAACTCGTGTTTGCCCTGAAGGCTGCGGCGCTGAGTAGCAGAGTGATTTCCCTCCTTATCGCGGTGGCCGTACGGTTGGAAATGCAGAGTACATGCGAGGTGGTGATGTGATCAAGACACAATTCCGCGCTGTTGAGGTGAATACTGTAACTCGCGCTTGTTTCTGTGATACTGATAATGCGACGAGGGAACAAAAAACTTGAGTCAAAGGCAACGGTAAGTACGATAGCTCATGCTAAAGTAACCTACACTCATCATGCAATAAATCTGTGCATGAATTCCGTTCAATTGTGTAGCTGAACTACAATATTTGCCATCATGAGCTACGTCATGGTCGGGTATACGAATTCCCTGTGATGGTGCGAGAATTTCCCTGAGCCACATCGTAAGTCAAACATGATGCCAGTCGCACATTCTTGTCCTTACGCATACAGACAAAGGCTGCCAGAATCTTGAAATCTCTCCAAAGATAGTCCACGCAAACTTATACACATTCATGTGTTCACAGAGCACATACTAATCGAGATCTTCCGAGTCGCTGGTGCTTCGATCCGTCATGTGTCTGATTCACGTTGGTTATGGAGATGCCTCTTATAATGTGAAGCCATTCATCCATTTGGACAGAGAAAGTTTCCAACCTCCCCTTCGTCAGCTGGTCGCTCTTGTTGATAATTTTCTGGTGCAATGCTGCCTCCCTCCCCGGCTGAAACGGTGGTCGATCATGAACCCCACATTTATTCTCGTACTCGCAGACTGACCTTACTGTTCCTGTTCTGTCTAGCTCAGTTCTTAGATTCCTTCAATAATTCAGCTCTCTTCTCCGCGATTCCTGCACTCGAGGTATCCATGGGTATGACTGAAAGTCAGTCCACTTGGATCATCAGTGGATTCCAATTGACCTTTGCATCTTTTCTGCTCATCGTGCGTGCTCATCCCATCAATTCTGACCTTGCACTTCAACGTATTGTTTAGAGCGGCCGGATTAGCGACGTATACAACCCAAGTCAGTACTATGCCGTACCTGTCAGATAGTCGCATTAATGGGTTTGCAGAAACTGCGTTCGTCGGGGGTGTAGCTGGTCTCGCTGTCATCTCGCTGTGCGCTGGATTCGTCAATGATACCATTCCGCTCATTGTTCTCAGAGCGTTGACTGGAATAGGTAAATAACTCCGCCAGTCCGATGATTTTGGCTGACGAAGATCGCTTCTCAGCTTCTTCAATGACAATCCCTTCCGCCCTAACACTCCTGGTCAACGTATTTCCCGATCCGCTTGAACAAGCTCGCGCAATAGGCCTATTTGGAGGCTGCGGCTGCGTCGCTAACGGTGAGGATTTCGACTAGCTGATTATCCATGACTAACTTCATGGTTCCCTCCGCAGTCCTTGGTCTCATGATTGGTGCAATGTTCGTCGAATGGACATCTTACCATTTCGTGTTCTGGTTTGTAACCATCGTGGCTACGCCAGCCGCTCTGGCGTGTGTCTTCGTCATACCGCCAGAAATTTCAAACACCAAAGGCAATCTTGAGCCTGCAGCAGCGAAATGGAAAAGTCTCGACTTACTCGGCATAACCATCCTAACTGGTTTGAATTTTCAGCATGCTCCGCTTCTCATCACTCACGAGCTCCGATAGCTGCCTTGATTTTGTTCATCTTCGCTGTGACATCCGGATCCACTGATGGCTGGGCATCCGTAATGGTGCTGGTTCCGCTCATCATTTCAATCTTGATGGTGATCGGGTTTTTCTGCTGGGAAACAATCATACCTATGGACAAAGCTGCAATGTATGCTATCAGAGATTACACCAACTACCAATCATTGACTGATCTCGTACCAGACCACCTCGGACTTGGTTTTATCACAATTTCTCCGTTCTTTTTGGCGTCGCGCTCTTCCCATTCCTGTGGTGGAGCACAGTGTTCAGTATTTTTACCACCCTGTGGCAAAATGTATTTGAGTGGTCGGCGATATCATCGGCTCTACACATGTAAGGTCTTTACTGTCATTCCAAGTTACCCGTTATCAAGACTATTTTGACTTACCAGGCTCCCGATCGGTGTCGCAGCCTTCGCGATAAGTTTCACCGGACCACTTTCTCGCATGTTTAGTCCAAAATGGATTATTCTTACTGGTTTGTCCTTTTGCATGGTCGCGACCGTATTGCTGGCGCTTGGCGGGGGAAGGCCTGAGGAATATTGGCCATACATATTCCCTGCTTTTTTTGTAGGAAGCGCAGGGGCCATGCTGACGTATACGCACACAAAGTAAGTCCAAATTGTCGTGGTTTTACGAACGTGTCCTAATTCCTATGATTACAGCATTGCTATATTCCAAGCCGCGCCTTCGTCCATGGCAGGCACAGTTGGTGCCATCTTTAACGGCGCTCTTCAATTTGGATCAGCAATTGGCCTCGCTGGTGTCAGCTCGATAGAGACATCCGTGGAGGCCACGCACGGGGGCTCACATGAGTATAGCGGACGAGCTGCAACATTTTGGTTCCTCTTTGCAATTATGTCTATCGAATTCATTTCAGTATCAATAGTTTATGACCGCAGTACGGACCACAAACCCCAGCCAAAACACGGCGACCCCGAAAATCTTGCTCGACGGAGCACGGACTGTGACGAAAAGCTCAAAGACGCGAACGTGACCATAATCGAAAAAGCTGACCTAGCGGATCTGCCAGTGTAGGGTCTTTCTTTTAATGATTGTTCCTTTAGACGACCATTTCCGTTGATGACACATTTCTTTTTACTGTTTTCCCGTTGACGACCTATATATCGTGACGACCTGCAGGGTAGACATGTTTTTTTATTTCATTATTAGAGGCAGGGTAGACTTCATGCTGTATTTTTTGCTATACCCGCTACCTATCTGGCCATAGGTATATCAGTAGACTGTATTACATATATGTAGAGACATACGATTGATGCTCCAATCACAGATAGGATTTGATGCCGAACTTGAGTTGACCCGGGTTGGACGTTGTCGGATGAAAGCAGGTGGCCATGATTTCCAGAACTAGTACTTGGTTACTACTAGCCAGCAGACGCAGCTGCCTTCGACCTTTCGTCAGTCTCTGAGCAATGACAATGAGTTCTGCATATCCAGTCCAGTCATCACGACAGTATACCCCGGTTACTCTTGGGTTACTCTAGATAAGTGACAACTTACCGCAAACTTAGAATGAATCCAGTGTTTCCCTCGATAGTAGATTACCATCTCGGTGGAGGAAGAGAGACACCTGCACCGAAGTCTAGCATAACGTGATAGGCGTGTGGAGTGCTGGGCCCTTTTTTGACCTCCATTCTGACTTCGTCGACGATATTGTCATAGTAGAAGTCCGATACTGAAGTGGGTGAGGATGTCGCTTATGTTTGGACTGATAGAGGACGGATTCAAGGATTGGAAGGAGGACGACGTGGACTGCGGGGCGGTGGTCTGGAGGTAGGAAGTAGAACACGAGAACCCATGAAAAGACGGGTGTTGGGCAGGTGTAAAGAATTGAGAAATGAGTAGGGCGATTGCGTATAAGATTAGTGTTGCTATTTTGAAGGGAAATAGAGAGACTTGCACGATCCTGAGAGTGAGCCAGAAGAGAGCAGAAAGTATGTGGAGGATGTCAATCGAAGTTTGAAGGTGAGTTTGTTCACTGTCACAGATGAAAAAGACTTGTCAAATCTTTCACCCCGGCCAGCCACAAGCCGATTCGCTGCGAGTCGTCCCATATGGTGAGAGGATGAATCCCATGGCAAAAAATCATTCTAAACATTGTCGGTCATCTTCGAATGCGCTACGTCCCGCATGTGCATTGACAATTTGACACTGATCGCAAGACATTTTGTTTGTGTGGCTGGGCAGATAACGTGACCGAAGGAGAACAGAGAAAGAAGCGATATCGACAAGTCATAGACTCGGAAGAGCAGGAGAAGAGCCACCAACCATTATCATCAAATCAAGCGCCTGCAAAAGGCCTTGACCGTTCTCGTGCCATTGTCCAGAGTAAACGATACATAAAGAACCAGCCATACATAAATACAGCACCTAGAGGTAATGTCCAATACTTATGGGGTCCCGTCCCAACGTATCCACGATAAACAAGGATAAAAAATGGCTGGTAGTAGTTTTCCCAAACCTAATTCAATCCTTCAAATCACCAAATAAATACCACAACATGACTCGAAATAACCATTTGGATCGCGGTGCTAAACATCTCCACCAGTTGACGCATCCCCGCCAGCCTGGAAATGAATGGTCGTCATGCCCGTTCCCTCGTCAGACCTGGCCACGAGCTCGGCGTGATATTCGCGAATGCTGAGGATTAGTCGCGGTCCCAGCACAAACATCTGCAACTCCTGGGCAATTTGGAAAACACCGGAATAGTTTTGCCCAGATTCAGTCCATGGTAACTGTAGAAACGATGGTGAGCGAACAGACACAGATGCTTGGCCGCATGTTGGCGCACATATGTAAACAGTGAGGTTAGGCTGAAGCAAAGTACAACGAGAAATCTAACATATGCGAAACTTCAGCGAAGCAAGATAATAACATTCAAATCACCGAACTTACCCAACAAAGTAAAATGTATGACTTTTGGTTAATACCATAAAACAGTCACCAATGGTCGGTCCTGTCGGCGAATATCGCAGCTCTCGAAAGTGTTTTATGACAATCCGGACTGCAAGAACGAAGGCGAGGATCTCCCATATAGCGGTGGACATCAAACGAACACTCTCAACTTGCATATTCATCGGCTGCCCTTCATCAAAATATGTGGGATAACACATATAATAGCCAGAAAAATCATCTAGTATTTGTCCATGAGTCTTATGTGCCTGAAGGTTTCATCGATGAAATTAAAACTTACCCACTGAGACAAAGTTACCTGTGATTGCTGTAAAACAGATGGAAGAGATTGTGGAAGCCAGTAAGACTATAACGAGAAAGACGAGCATCTTTTTGGATCGTCCATACATCGCATGTATCCGAATCATCATTATGACTTGCATAATATTTCAGTCAAGTCAGTCTCAGCGAGGCACTGCAGATGAGCTCACTGCCCAACATAGCATTGACGACGACAGGCGTCCATATCAATATGAAGTAAAAAATTAGGCCTGAAAATCAAATTTACTGATGTGCATTCATAGACTCAATGCCTTAAATGAACGTACAGCTGTTGCAGTCGTTATGTTCAACATAACAAGGAACGGAAAATATCACTCACTCCTGTGTGGGAGTGCAGTTAATAAATGAATTGGAATGGGAGGCATCGGTACAGAATACTCACTGCGTCTGTCATCGAGATTGGGAGATATGCTACATGCCGCCAGTTAGAATAAATGAGCTCACTGTATCTTGGGATACATACATAATACGATGATCCTAATCGTAAGATGTGGTTTGTTAGGACAGTCCAATATCGACTTGTTAGTCTCGCTAACTTACACAGAGTATGGTATTCCGATGTAGCGCACCTAGCACATGTTGTAGTCAACATGTCAACTATGTTCATAAGACAACGTACACATATATAAAGAATGGTCATGAAGGACCAGGGTCGCCTCTGCTCCGAATCAACTGCATTATCCAGTTTGCTTCTGATACACTAGTAGGACTCCGCTTACCCAGACCAGTTCGAACTGTTGAAGCATGCTTAGTGGGACAGCTGCGCCGATGACACTGTAACTAACCTCTTGTCCGAATGTTAATGCTTGAATGGCGTATATATATTAATGTTATGATACCCTCGGAAAGTATTATTTTGCTCACCCCAATCGTAAACCACAGCAACAGAAGACACAGCTGCAAAACCGGTCAGTGAGTGAGACGTCATCATCTTCATCCCACTTGCTCTTTACGGACCTGCAAAATAGGGGAAAAGAACAGGAAGAATGGGGCTACTATACAGCTCGTAAGCAAGATCGTGGTTAACTATGTTCATGTCCGGTTGGGGTGTATGGAGTTAGCGCAGACACACCATCCAGCACTTTTATATCGGTCAGTCTGGACAACTGTTCCTTGAGTGAGAATCCTGATTGATCGCATCAACTGTTATCGATGAAACAATTAATCAGAACGAAGAAGCGGTTTCATGATCAGAAGCCCTCGATCAAACTAAAGTGCATTTGGGAATTTTGGATTTACATACTAAATGATCGGTGAGGTAATATGTTGCAAGAATCACACTTGCCTTCGCGGTTAAGGTTATACGTAGCAGATTGCACACCTAATGCACTAGCACAGTGGGTATCGACCGACTGGACGCTTGTAATACCTGGAACAGAACTCCTCGATGGAATCAGCCAAATGTGTTCCAACTGCTAACTGGCTTGATGTCGTATGAGTCACACGAATCATGCGGAGCTTCGTAATACGACCACACTGCTGTTGATGCGGATGTACGCGCATGACGTAAGTCCTTTCTTCATGCTTTGATGATCAAGAACAATGGTGTGATGTGTATTGTGCTGTTCAGATATATTAGTACTTGGGCCCATGAAACGATGATGTAAGGAGACGGAAATGAATTACATGCACCAGCCAAGAGCAGAGATAAGGACTGGCAGTGTGCACTGTGCTCATCGGACCTGCGAACTGTTACTAATACCAACAAGGATATCCCCTTGTCATGATAACGTAGTGACTTACCAGCATGAGATACTACGAGTTGAGAGAATGGGTAAGGAAAAAACATTCGACCCGCTGCTCATTACTCCAGAGCCGAGAACCAGGTACTCCAGGGAACATTTTGACCGTACCAGCAGTATTGCCTTCAGATGCACGTGAGGCCAAGAATGCACATAGTAAGCTTGAGCTTGAGGGATGCGAGAGCATTGAACAGGGTGTACAGTGTGCACTTGGTGTGCACATTCGATTTTACATACAGTAACATGATCATCTAGTGAGCTTTCAAATTTCAATAGGCGGCGTAGAGAGTCACGGTGGTCATCAACATTGGTTGCGGAAAACGCCACCGTAATATTCCCAGGGTGTTTAGGTGTTATAATATAACTCGATGCCAACTCGATGTGGACGAAATTCCAGGGTCTGGGAGTTGCGAGTCAATCAGATTTACCTTGGTTCAAAAGTAAACTCGACCCAATACAGACTTGAGTTTACTTTCACCTTTCTCCGCCCACAGCCCAACGATACCCACCTTTTGGAAAGACAGCATCTTCCCAACTGGACCTTCGAGTCAACACTTCAGAGGTTCATCATGCTTATGCATTTGAAACGCCGAGCATAAGCCGTCTGGTCGTTGTCTTTAGTCTAGCAAGTTCCAATGCTAGTCCATGCTATTCTACATTTGAACCCGACTGTAGGAGACGCGTTCGAGGTCAAGATAGGTCTTCGATTTGGAGTCATGTCATAGACGCAGCTGAGCTACCTTGAATTCCGAGTAGGCCTTCTGATATGCCAGGTACCACGTTTGGCATCTAGACTCTGGACCCTTGGACCAGTATATAGCGCCTCGAGGTGCCCGAGCTGTGTGGGCATGTATGCATTATCCTGCAGGAGAGTATAGCCCTCCTTGCACTCAAGCTAACACTACCAACATCGCATTTTCCTCTGAGCCGTCTGCTGCAGTTCGAGTTGGTGGAGTAAATTTTCCATCATGAATTTCAAGAGACATGCAGAAGAGTCCCAAAGCAAACTTGTGTCAGGCAACGTGGCTTTTCATGCGGTTTGTCATGACCCAACCAAACTTCCAGCATTCATATTTACTGAATATATGTTCCAGGATGATGATGAGATTCAGGATATTGTCATATTTGGAACGACGGGCTCAGGAAAGAGCTCCCTTATCAACATGCTCTTAGAAAGCGAAGAAGCGCCCGCGTCAAACGATGCAATAGGCTGCACAGCGACGAACAACGGTTACCTTTTCTCAATCGACGAGAGGAAATATAGAATATGGGATACTCCCGGCCTTAACGAAGGCTCCGAGGGACTTGTCCCTACGAAAGTGGCTCTCAGAAATTTGAAGTCTTTCGTCAAAGAACTCGTGCGCGACAAACATCGTGTTCCTCTCTTCATCCTTTGCATCGAAGGATCACTGGATGTGAAGGCCCAACTGCGTCATTACAATAGTGTCAAATCTACCATCGGTGCTGCCCCCTTTGCCATCGTAGTCACGGGTATGGACAGGTGCTCGTCAAGGCCTTGGAGCGAGTGGTGGGGCGAGCATTGGGAGGTTTTGCAATCCTTCGGTGTGGCTAGCGTAAACCATGCATGCATTTGCACATTGCTGGATGGTGATGAGCTGGCTGGTTCTCGGGATGAGCTCATCGAGCTCATTAGGAGAGCTACCCTCCGTCGATCTTCCAAATTTATGCCTGCGAGAATCCGAGTCCAGCGCAATAATGAAGAAATTCATGGACGCCGCGACACAGACCCGCTTGTCCCAAAAAGGCAACCCGGCTCGAGTCTCAACGAAGCAGGGTCTGAAGAGGCATTCTTCGACTGGAAGGGGCTTTTGATCTGGAAACGACCATGGACATGGCGCAGAATAGGTGTGTATTCAATATAGTCTGTCCTACAGTTCACAATCTTATGGAATGATCCGCATTGCTCCAGTAACTTGCGTTTGCCTTGTCGCCACCATCGTCCTGGTTTCCCTTTTTGTGGTCTTCCATGATCGGATAGTGCACGCTTTACAGCCTGCAGTGGAGAAGATTCATGAGTGAGTCTATTTCACGTTGAAGCATGTTGATTCCCTAACGCTATTTTACCGAACTGCATAGCTTGAAATTCGGATGGCTCATCCCAATTGCGATATTCTTTGTAATATCATTCCCTCCAGTGAGTGTACCTTCATACTGAATTGCCTCGTTGACTGTAATTTACGCTCTCAGTTGTTTGGCCACGAGATATTGGCCGTCCTCTGCGGGCTTGTTTGGGGCGCTATGATTGGTTTTGCCATCACCGCAACTGGCACTTTCATAGGTGAAGTCGCCAACTTCTAGTGAGTTTTACTCAATACTTTCTATGATAAACCCTGAACGTATTTCTCAAGCACTTTCAAACATTTCTGCCAAGCTCGCGGAGATAAGTTGCAAAAAGACAGTGTCATGTATGCCGCCCTGTGCAAGGTGATCCGTGAACGCGGTTTCAAAGTCGCGTTGGTTGCGCGTTACAGTGCTATTCCAGGGCACCGTAAGTTTCTATTATACGCATACGTCATTCGTTAATATTTGCTATTTTCAGTGACGACAGCCATATTCTCAGTGTGTGGAATGGGGATATCTACATTCATGCTGGCGGCTGTGCTCTCTCTTCCGAAACAATTCATTACTGTTTACATTGGTGCGATGCTTGAGAGTGACCCAAACTGTGAGTCGTTACTTGTTTTGTCCATTATGTCGCACCTGCTCACATACTTCACAGCATCTACCGGTTCCACTAGGAAGATTATTGCTGATGTAGTTGGTGTCATCACACTTCTGGTGACTGTTGCTGCAATGTGGTATATCAACGAGGCAGTAAGCAAAGTGAAGCCACAAGTCATACAGGAGCGTCAAAAGTCCCGGTCAGTGCCTCTTCATACAAAGAGGCGCTTGACCACTTACGACTTCACCTTGCAGCTATCATGATGTCATTGCAGACGATGCCTCGCGAGGGGATTCCTCCGCCTTCGACGATATGTCCGACGATGTTCGTGACGACATGTCGCCGTGTGAGGCCCTCAATAATGAAAGACATTCTGAAGATACACGCGGTCATGTGGGCTCCATGCCACTGACCCGTACCCCTACGCTTCCATGCATGCCAGATACCCTGGAAGGTCAACACTATAGGTTCAACGCCTTCTCTGATGATCCGTTCTACGGCCTCTCCACGTCGCGATTGGTCCCGAGACCATGATGACATCATGTGCTACGCGGGGTTCGTCTGTCTTCTGTGGCTCGGATGGAGGGTCCTCCGCAATAGCACCACTGCACAATCGATTAAGCGGGCGCTCCGTTGATGACTTCCCCAACACACGCTGTCGTACAGCATTAAGCCTTAGCGAGCACGTTTTTTGATATTTTTCTTCCAAGTATGGAGTATGCGGCCACCGTGTGTATGTACTATTATGCATGGTTTACTAGCTCAATTTTCATTCATAACTGTTTGATGACGTCTACAACCTGGCCACGGTGGTATTGCCGAATTACAAAGTTCAAATCTGGTTTGGTACTCAATTTCAAAAGAAAATTTGTTATGCGAGAGAAGGACCACTTCCACAAGAAACTTGAAGTACTGGGTATAGCTTTGTGTGCCCTGGGAGCTTCAGGGGACTTCCGAGGAGTTCTGATGAACTTGGCTGAACTGGTTTTTCCACATCAATATCGGAACCCAAGTAATGGTTGAGCTTCCGGTACTGGCCGGTGCTCCACTTAGGCTGTACGTAACCATATCGATTTTAGCTAGAAAGTTGACGGTGACTCTCTTGAGTAAGTGCCAGTAACCGGGCCACGTCGAATGGCACCGCATACTATTCCCCGCATTTTGTGTCAAGATCATGATTTCCTACTCAGCGCCTATGCGGCATGGCTGAGGGATCACGTCAAGACGTTTATTTAAATATGACACACTCCACCATGCACAGCGATACTTCTCTTGCACTTATTCGCCCACAAGAGACGGTCTGGGACGGTCCACGGTTGACTCGACGGCCGTTTACCTTGAAGAGTCTGTCTGCAGCCCTTACACAAACCTGGCTGTTTGTGCGGACAACCTCCAACCTTTGGGGCACCTTGTCACTACTAGGCGGTTGAGTGATTCCTGTAAAATTCCCTGACTAGCATAGTTCAATGGTACGGTGTGCACCTTTCTCGCTGATGGGAGATCTGATGATCTCTTTGATACAGATCCCCAATGAAACTATCGGAGTGACACCTTACGTTCCCCAGTTCTTCTGGCGGTTTTGGTTGTCTGATGCGTGAGTGATTCATCCATGACCCCCAGTTTGTCGTTAACAGGAGATACATACATAGCGATCCATTGAAGCACACCCTCGACGATCACCGCGTCCATGCATATGACGTCTACGACAACGAGCTCACTGAAACGCGTCGTGTTCCCGAGCAAGTTCAGACAATCTTCCATAATTTTGACATCCCATCTTTGGATGGAGGTTGCCGGTCTGTCTTGCGCACCGCGGAACAGGCCTTTACCCGTCTGGAAAATGAAGTGGAGCGGATCCTTAGTGAATTGATATCAAAGATCCGCTCTTCACACTCTGGGGAATCACGACCGGACACGAGGCTCGAGCTGCCGATTTCAAGACACTCCCGAGACGCATTGCTCCGGTACTTCGTATTCTTACGGTATCGAAACAGCGACAAGTACGCGAAGACGGTTGCCAGCTTGACGACACGTGTCATCACTGGCAGTGGTGCGGTCGTTAACGCTAGACATGCATGGCATCGGGTTCGCAGACGCGCTACGTTGGGGGGTTTCCATGCTTTCCTGCAGCACGAGAACACCGACAAGAAGGTGTTCCGTCACTTTGAGGGTCTTGACTGCTGGAGGTTCTGCGATGCCGAGATCTGTATAGGTCTGGCATCCGAAGGTCAACAGTTTGTGCTCCCTGATTCATGCTTTGCCACCCTCGATGAGGAGTTTGCTGGTGATCCGTGAGTCTAAGAAACCGTTATATATCGGGCCATGTTGAACACATGGCTTCACTAGCTCGTCGGCTCATCTGCTATTCCCAATCATGCCTACTATTGCTCTCTACGTGCTTGGCACACAACGCGAGGAGCCTCAGCCGCATGGTTCAAGCGTAGGAAACCAAGTTATGGGAGCCGCTGCTGCTTGGATTGACGTCGACATTGAGTCGCCGGCCGACGTGCACCTTCGTAACGCCTCCCTTCTCCAGCAACACCCAGCCCGGTTGTACTTCTCTTCCCTTACTTCTATCACCCAAGCTATTGCGCATTACGATAGCTTCCGTTGGGTGACGGAGCACCTGGACTATTCGCGGCTGAAGCAACGTGCTAGGCAAAAGGCAACGTTAGAGCAATTAACGAAGACCCTGGTCGTGAAAGGCAGCGTGTTACTTGTTGACCTCACAGACGAGGTTGAAAAAGTAGGCGACGCACCTGTATCTGGCGGTTCCTTCGCCGACGTTTGGAAGGGAATCTGGACACATTCCCACCATGGGACACGACCAGTAAGAAGCATTTTGTCTTCTTCCCAATTCAGTATCTTAGTAGTGGATTGATAGGTCGCACTCAAATACCTTCGCCAGTACATGCATGTGACAGATGAAATCAAGGAGAAGCTGATGCTGGTGCGTGCACATCTCCAAATTAGTTTGCTCGCGCATTAATGAAGCGTGACAGCGACTTAAATCAGAGGTTGTTGCCTGGCACCGCCTGCGTCACTCAAATATTGCGCAGCTCTATGGCGTTGCCCAGTCTCCTAACTCCATAGCCATGGTCTCCCCTTGGTGCAATAACGGTACATTGACGCGTTATCTGGAAATGAATCCCGAAGCAGATCGATTTGCATTAGTAAGTCAGGTGGTAGACAAGTGACGCAATATCCCCTTACACGAGGTGTAACAGATCCAGCAAATAGCTTCGGCAGTCAGCTATTTGCACAACTGCCAGCCAGTCGTTATCCACCGGGACCTCAAAGGCGTAAGTTTATCTTCATTCATGCTCTTCGGACTCGACATTTATGCTTTGGATCTAGTCCAATATCCTTATCGGCGATGATGGTCAAGCTCTCTTGACAGACTTTGGTTTGTCAAATGTCATCGAAGAGGTCCTTGAATCCGAGCCCAGCATGCGGAACAGTCGTTTCGCAACATCGCTCTTCGCTGGTTCAACTCGTTGGATGGCGCCTGAACTCATTGAAGCGCTCACCAATGATGATGATGCTCAGCCGCCTCCGATATCCACTAGCAGTGATGTATACGCTTTTGCGTGTGTTTGTCTCGAGGTTGGCTCGTCCATCTGTCTGTTTGTCTCCGTTCGTTGACAATGTTCTGCAGGTCGCAACCGGTTCACTTCCTTTCTCGCATAGGAGTAACGATACTGCAGTCATCTTCGACATCATGAGGGGCGTGAAGCCCTCCCGTGGATGCACTCCTATGAAACTCCAGCTTCCGGAGAAGGAGGTGGACCACTTCCGGAAACTCCTTGATAGGTGTTGGAGCCCAGTACCGTTCTTGCGACCCACCATGACCCAAATCAAACAAGAGCTGGCGGCTATTTCGGGTTGCTGCATGTCCGAATCATCACGGCATGCATGATACAATATCCCTCAATTATTTGCACGCATTATATATTAGCACATGTACAACATTACACACGTATTATTTGCACCTGGAAGTTCAGAATAACAAGACATAGCACTCACCCTTGTACCACTATTGTACACTACAATTCCGAAGTGTTTCACGTCCTCGCCTCACTTGTCATAAAATCCTTCATAATCCCACCCCTCCTCGCGCTGGCCCTCTCTCATCCATCCAAGCGTGTGCGCAGTAAGCATAGCCACGCGGAGGAACAACGTTCCATCCAACTCTCCAAGTCCCATGTCGCGCTCGACATCTTCGAGCTTACTGTTATCTATAGCTACGCTCGCTTGTTTGCGGGTGGTGAACCATCCCTGTCCTCGCAAGCCGTACAATGATGCAAAATGCGCGAGTGCCCGCTGCACCTTGCACAAATGTTCGTTGGGATGCACGAGCGTAGTCTGTATTATGGATAGCCAGGAATTTGGCGTCCGCGCTTCAGGAGAATTCTTGTCGGGAAGTGTGTCCTCGAAAGGTGAAGGCTGCGGACCCGGAATGACATCCAGACCACTGGGAGGCAGAAGCCGTGATGTGTCACGGTAGAACTTGGCGATATCGAGGCTGGGGCGTCCCCGCGATAAATAGCGCGCCAGGCTCACTGCGAAGAAGGAACGCAGCAGCAATGCTTGGGCACGAGGGTTTTGATAGAGCGAAGTTACGAGGGACGGGAGAAAAAGGGCGGAAGTGGTAAGGTGCATCAAGAAGAAATCGGCGCTGAATGTATCCTTAGCCATGCCCCCTACTCCATAAATTATCGAGTTAAACCAAGCAAGTTCCTCTACCGCTTTTGCGACGCCCTCCTTATTTGCGACATCGAATTTCCACATTTCAGCGTACGCTCGAAGTGCCTCGTCGTAAGATGAGACGGTCATTGTAAGCATGTCTAAATCGTCCATCATTTTGACCTGCTCAAATCGTTCATCCTTAGCGACAAGTGCGAGAATTGATAGGGCATGCATGGTTCCAGATTTCAAAGGAGAACTGAAATCCGAAGGTGGAAGAAGTGCATGCATCTTCGCAGGATGTATAGCAGTCATAGCCAGACCTTTCTGCAGGTAAGGACCAGCACAATCCGTGAAATAAATGTAACTCTACCTTCTGCTGACATGCCTAGCAATCCAAACTCTGCGCCATAACCTGTGTGAATCAGAGGGTGGAGCAATCCACCAATGAAGCGAGACAGCATCTCCGGATGACCATCACCTTCCGGAGGTGGTTCTGCTAGGTAATTGGCAGAAGGAGCAAATACAAATTCCTCGAAGGTGCGAGCAAACCCTTTCTTCCCGAGTTCAAGAGCAAAAAAATCTGAGTAAGCTGAATAAAAGCTTGGAAGATTCAGTAATTAACAAACGACGCTGTTGAACATCACTCACCGTTCGTCGCCAAGGTGCTCATTGAAATTATGGCGTGTGATACGGCTTGGTGAGTCAAACGCAGGCCGCTGATACACGCAATGAGTTTCATAAGCAGAAAATATGATCTTGGCGCTTGCGCCCATCGCCCAGATTGCGAGAAGGTGATGGGCCGCATGGCTTCACAACAAAGTTAGTGCTCAACATACATATACGCTTAGAACGGAGCGCACTTATGAAATCCCTTGTAATTGAAGAATATATGCCACCTCGAATGATTGTCCTCTAACACTTTCAAAAGCATCTTGGTGCTTTCTGCGTCGATGCCTGGCCAGCGCTGGGGGGATGTGGAAGATAGAGGCGGTTGCGGGGTCTGGAACAAAAGAGGTGACACACTGTGCTTTGACTCAGGCTTGGAAGGGAACGAAAACGCTTCCGCTGCCTCAGGAGAATATTGCGCTAGACCGTGAGCATGCATATGTCCAACTGGGTGTTGAAAAGGTTCGTCACCAGGTCGATGGAATGGTCTGTGAGCGGTAGTGTCGAGTTCAGAGGACATCGTAGTTAGTGCTAGAAACGGGAAAGGGGCTTATACCATCGGTGACGTCTTGACTCACGTGACCGGCGACCCCGAAGTAGCGGGCAGATCCCAAAGGCTTGATACTCGTTCCCAGATATCAGGGATTCTGCATATGTTGTAAGGAATAATTACGTGCATATTATCAGCTGAGATGGGAGTCAAACAAACAGAAACCGGTTACTTCGGATACATGCCCCCATCGCCTATGCATTTATCTTGGCTTCAATCTCATCTCTCTCCAAAGCCGCTCTCTCAAACTCCTGGTAATCCCAGGTACCTGTGTTCGGTTCGCCATCCCTCACCCATCCAAGGGCAGCACCAGTCAACCAAGCTACGCGCAAGAATACGCTCCCATCAAGGAACTCCCACTCCGGAGCTTCGAGCGCCTTGCACTCATCCTCTGCGAGTTCAAGGCCACCAGGTAACAGTGGTGTGTCAGGACAACTGATCGCCGGACTTGAGGACAGTGCCTCCGACATGAAGCCGGCCTCGCGGTGTCCGTACAGTATGGCAAAGTGCGCAAGCGCACGCTGGCACTTGCAGAGATGCTCATTTGGGTGTACGATTGTGTTCTGTAGAAGGGGGTACCATACGTTGGGCGTCACCGCATGTGGACTGTCCCCGCCGAGTAGTGTACATGCTGCTGGCTGGGGTAGAACGCCAGGGAACGTCGTTGGGTACTTGAAGTGCGCTGGGGAAGGGAGGGGCGCAAGTGGTGCGGCGAAGAACTTGCGCAGGGGGAGAGCAGGGCGTCCACGAACGAGCCACCAGGTGATGCCCACGAGGAAGTGTGCGCGTAGGAGGAGAGACTGGCTTCGGTATGAAAGGTGGGCACAAAGAGACGGGAGGAAGAGGCACGAAGTGACGATGTGCATGGTGAAGAAATCTGCACGGTACTCTTTGTCCTCGCCGTCCCAGCTACTGACGCCGTACATCAGAGTGCTTGCCCATACAAGCTCCTCGAGGTGGCGATTGAAATCTTCCTGGCTGTTGATCTCGCAAGTCCACATCTCTGCGTAAGAGTTGATGAGCTCGCCGTGCGACACGAGCATAGCCTCGAATTCATGCTTTTCGAGGATACGCGTCCAGAAACGGCTATCGACAAGCATCTGCGAGAGGATTGAGACCGCATGCACGTGCGATTTGGGCCTGTACTGAGAGTCCGGGTTTCCAGGGAAAAGCAAACGAGAGACTAAGACGGTTGCTCGTGCAGGATGAACGCTCGCCTGAGCGAGACCTTCAGCCAGCATACCAGGAAGTCCGAATTCTGCACCGTAGCCGGTGTGAATAAGGGGGTGGATGAGAATTTCCACGAAACGGTTGAGCATTTCAGGTTGCTGCTTTCCCGATGCGAGAGAATCGCTGATATTGTACTCTGAAGAGAAAATGTACTTTTCAAGGGTGCTTGAGATGGTGGCACCTGGGGCGAGAACTACTTTGTGGTAATAGTCCAGGTATGCATTATAATAACTGGGTCGCGTTTGTGAGTTATTTCGACTGAGATGTAGGAGGTATTCAGGCTTACTTTTCGTTGCCGAGGTAGTCATGGAAGTTGTCATCTGAGATCACCACACGGCCAGGTGCCTGGAAGGCATCGCGCATATGGTCAAGGTGGGTATCCTCATATGCAGCTGTGATCAAAGGTCCAGATGCGCCAAGGGCCCAAATGGCTAACAAGTGGTGGGCTGCATGGCTGAATGGAGTGTCAAGGTTGTTCTGCTATGTCATTTTATAAGTACATACTTGTGAAAACTGTAGTGGTTGAAGAAGACATGGCTGCGCTCGTGATTATCTTTGAGGGTCTTCAGCAGTGCAGCAGTTGGACCTGGACCGGCATTTGGTAGACGGGCTGGTGCAAGGACTGATGGAGGGAGCGCTGGTGTAGGAAAGAGGCGTGCCAGAACCTCAGCAGAGGATGGTGAAACAGGGATTGGATTGGGGGGAGGAATTGTGTTGACCATGATGAAGTTGATAGTGAAGTGATTGCCTCTGGCCTGGTATTTATGTGAAACCGCAATCAGAGACTCCGAGTCTGCGATGACACCGCATGATCGAGATAGAGCGGTAACGATTTCTTTAGAAAGGTTAGTGGCGAATCAGGCAGTGACCCCGGCATTAACGGACACAGCCTATCAGCACTAAATAACACTTAGTCTGCGGCTTGTTGACTACGACAGCGACCGCAAGGGTCTGCGCCGCTGCGGCCGCGTGACGCGTGTCCCACGCGTCAGTCAGCAAGATCTCTGCCTACGGACCTCCCAGGACGTCCGACTCAACATGAGTGAGCCAGGTTTTAGGCTGTTGAATTTACATAACAACGCGTTTCATTATAGCTGCACTAGTAGTGACTCTGGTGAGCGCTTGAGCACTCGACATCAGGACTTCCTACAACCTCCAGTTCCTCCCAGCCTGTGCACGCACTGGCACTACCCCTCATTTCATGCATTCGTGGTCTCGCACTGGCCTCAGTATACCGCACCATATACCATACTTTTTCACCTCCACATCCGGCGCCGAGTCACGGACCTCAGAAACCATCTATACCCACTGGCACATCTACATAAATTCCCTCAGCAAAATTTTACACAGCGTTAATAATTCGCATTTAGCTCTCCGTACATACTAGTATTGCATCAATGTAGTCGTATAAATGTGAGCGTGCCACGTATTATTGATCAATAGTCTGAGCGACATCTTCTCGGTAGAGGTGAGAACGATATCCTTGCATGTAGGATTGATGCTCCCGATGATCGAGGAAGGTGGAATCCTGGAAGGTAGGTTTCAAAAGGATGGGGTTTCGGAATCCAGCTCTTCCTCTAATTAGATTTGTCAACTAGATCAATACACCGCCAGAAATGACCATCACGGATCAGACATTGACGCGACCTCCCGTTCTTTGCCAAGCAAAAGACGAGGCTGATGTAGCGGCCGTTTCGTTCCTCCTGGAAAGGGGTGTCGGACTCAAATATTGTTATAATTTGTCTGATGATTTGAACATACAGCAGCGAAAAGAGTGCGACAAAGCGAATCCAGGATATTTGCATTGACACCCTGTGGCATCGAGTCGTCTGTAATAGCCGCAAGTTCTTTTCGAGTGTCCGAAACAAGTCTCAGTGCGGCATACCGGACTCGGGGAGGGTTTATATTCGTTGTCGACGTTGACTTCGTCCATACAACAGATGAGCGCATTGATGAACGACGGTTGCTTGGGAGAGCACCATAGTCCATGCGTGGCGCTCAATGCAAGCAAAGCATCTCCTTCCGATTCATAGTCGTCGTCCGCTTTATTCGCCAGATAATCAACAAGCCAGTCGAATTCTTCAAGGTGGGGCTTATCCCCGTTACTGTGAGACCACTGCAGGACACCATTCCAAGTTAATTCCTCGCTATCCGGAAGTGAAAGTTTTTGGTCCAGAACCACTGTTCTCAGAGCGGTACGTACATTGGCCTGATGTGAAGCGTCGTCGTCGTCTTGTGTCATCTGACGGTAGGCATCTTGACCAGCCATGAATGCGTCGCGAATGAAACGACTCCTGCCTCCCAATAATCCCAGCTAAATTTGCTAAGAAGGCTTGGGTCGATCTTCACCGACTGACTGCAGAGATGGACCATGGCCTTACCATACGTCACATAGAGCGCTTCCTTCTTACAGCATGCTCCGAAGTTATCACGTGGGCGTTTGTATACTGCTGAAGCATCAAGATCCCGCGACCACTGAGCGAGAGGTACCATCGCAGCGGCAGCCTCGAGATATTCTGGGTTGGTTGATGTGTCGTTTATCCAGCGTATGGCAGACGATTTACCGGATATGTCAGGAGGCGAAGTCAATCCGGTGAATATTTTCCCAATAGCTCCAACTGGTTTTGAGCCCGGTGTCCAGGAAGGACTGTTGGGAAACCGCACTGAGACAACCATAGTCCACAAGTAGAAGACAATACCGGAAGCTGTGCCGCAGATCATGAAACCAGATATCATGACCTCGGTCTACGTCTTGATGCATAGCGAGACGCTGAAGAGCAGTAGTGCAATTTGTAGGAACACAAGGAATGCCTGCAAGAGAGTCCGCAGAGGAAATTGCTCTAGCCCATCCAGCTTCATCTGCCTTTGTATGCAGCGCTCCTCCAAAGATCCTTTCCCTGGGCTGCCTTGTACGAGTTAAGCCATTGGTTTCCTAAGACAGCCCCTGACGCAGCCAAGACACTGCTGGCATAAGCAAAAGTTTGCATGCAGACGGTCAAAGAGGAATAACCCTCGGATGAGGAAAAATGGATGATATCGTGTACGGAATTTGGGTTGGCAGTAATTTGAATCAACTTTAGCAGGAGGACATTCGTAGTATCTCCAGGGTCAGGTTGCATGCTGCCGATGAATGAAGAGTTGACAGCGGAGAGTAGACCAGCCTGATGTACCTTGTTAAATTGGCACTGAAATACATTGGAACGAACGCACAAAAGTGAGGATAACGCCCATACCATCATTCGCCCGTGCTAAGAAGTCGTCATCATACTCGTCCGAAACTTTCTTGTATGTCGTTCAGAACTTCGAATTAACGGTATCTTGGCTGTTTTCTTCCGCACCAGTAGACCCTGGAGAGACACCGATAGTATTGGATCTTTGAGACAATGTAGTCAGATATGAAGCTTTGAAGTGTTGGTACCCACGTCTTCTTAGCGAGGCCTCCCTTGGTGGACACGAAAAGTTTTTCGCTCACGACATCACATCCCTGTTTGCATATTGGTCTATGTACGGTGCGGTGGAAAATCTTCCATTTCAATTGGGTGTTCATAGTACGGTACCTGCAGGGACGATTGCCAAGATGTTGGTTGATATAAGAGGCTAGCGTCAGCGTGTGTTCGCTTGTCAGAAAGAAGTTTGGAGAACATCCAGGAAATGGACACTTTATCAGGAGGAGCTTGCAGTGGATAGAGCGGCGGGTTGAACAAACCAATACAATAACGTTACAATATGGTTTAGAAGCATCATATCGGCGCCACGGCCCACGGGTGGTTGTACCCAAGCTTATCACGTCAAGCGGAAAGGGCCGCGCGTGAGTGTACATAGCGGCGGCGCTTATGGCAACGTCTGAAACCTCTTTGCCTCTGCAAATCACGCCAAGTTTTTCGCCATATATCCTGCCAATGGATGATCACACGTGTAGCTGGAGGGAATCTTAGTACATTATATGATTGGTATGTACTAGATGGATATACGTGGGTCTTGTCATCCTCATTAACTTCCGTCAAAATACAGACATCTCCGATGGCATTCCAGCAGAAGTCAGACAAAAGAAGATCCATCTCTCTTGAACAGCTTCTAGAAGCCAAGGAAGTCGCACCGACGTTGGGCCTGGCTCTGCTATCTGATAATAACTGATTCACCATTGATGAGTTTGCCTGGGCCTGAACTCGAGTTGGACTCGGAGCTACTGCCATTGTTGAAACTCCGTAACAAGACTCACGAGTTCAACAGCTTCCGTTCCTATCGGTCCGTTGTTCTTCCACTGTGTAGCTCCAATGATCCAAATTCTCTCTCACATGCTGTCTTAATTCCTCGGCCATGTAAAGCCAGGGTTACTTGAGCTTGAACTCGTGATGTAGTAAGATACTTGCGTGATTGATCGTCATTCCTATCTGTGTTTCGGACACATTCTGTACCACCGTGATACTCAGGAGTCAGAACCTTGAATATCATATTTATAGTAGGGCAGTCGGAGTCTGCGCGCAACCCCACTTATCTCCCATTCCAACATCAAATTATTATGGCTCAAGCAAACAAGTGAGTGCCATGTCTCGTTTCAAAATCTTTCTCAATGGTTAAATTTTGGTCAAAGACCCCAGGAATTCGAGACGCTGCAGTTGCACGCTGGTCAAATTCCTGATCCTACAACCAATGCTCGCGCAGTCCCTATTTACGCCTCCACGAGCTTCGTCTTTAACGACTCTAACGTTCGTCACTTTGCACCAACATTTGATTTAGGGGCTCATCATGAATTTAGCATGGCGCAGAACTTTTCGGCCTCAAGTCAGTTTCATCCAGTATGACAAGTGAATTGAACTCAACGGAACATTATACAGGGCCTTTGGACACATTTATTCTCGTATTGGCAACCCCACTGTCGTACGTGATTCTTTCTTCGATCCTCCTCTGCAGCCAAGTACCTACCTCTATTCATGTAGGATGTTTTCGAGACTCGAATGGCTGCCCTTGAAGGTGGTGTTGCAGCCGTCGCAACAGCCTCCGGTCAGTCTGCGCAATTCCTTGCTATATCCACCATAGCCAGTGCAGGTGACAACATCGTTTCAACGTAAGGCCCAGTCTTTCAGGTCCAGATCCCCGATTGACATCTTGGCAACAGATCATATCTCTACGGAGGGGTAAGCCTACTATTTTCAGGAGTCGATGGATTGTTTTAACTAACGAGGTCGCTTGAAGACATACAACCAGTTCAAAGGTTCGTTTGTCAGTGTCTTAGTAGTATCATGACCCATGCGGTGCGCAGTAACGTTCAAAAAGTTTGGTATCGGCGTGAAGTTCGTGGATGGCGATGATGCGGCGCTTTTCGCAGCGGCAATCGATGAGAACACGAAGGCAATTTACGTCGAGAGCATTGGTAATCCAAAGTACAACGTTGCGCCCATTCCTGAGCTGGCAAAAGTGCGCATGCTAATCATTGTCAATGGACCGCTGCTCATGTTAAGTCAACAGGTTGCACATGATCACGGCATCCCCTTAATCGTGGACAATACGTTTGGAATTGGAGGATACCTCATTCGACCCATCGATTTGGGCGCAGACATTGTTTGTGAGCATATCCTTCACGTAGGTGACCCGCGGCTCATATAGATGGTCATCAGTGCACAGTGCAACCAAGTGGATCGGAGGCCATGGAACGACGATTGCAGGTGTCGTCATCGATTCAGGTGCGTTCACTTCACGATGCTTTCAATCTGCATATCTCATTTTTTCTGTCAGGTAAATTCAACTGGGCACGCTCCGGAAAGTTCCCGTCGTTCACGTCTCCCTCCGAGGGATACCATGGCTTGATCTTTCACGACACATTTGGTGCTGTCGCTTTCGCTATCAAGCTTCGCGTCGAGCTCCTCCGTGATTTGGGACCAGCCCTGAACCCATTCGCCGCATTCTTGCTCATCCAAGGTATCGAAACGCTTAGCTTGAGGGCTCAGAGGCACTCCGAAAACGCTTTGGCGCTTGCTCAGTGAGTCGTCATGCACTGATCCGTGAGTAAACATTTATTGTTTTTAGGTGGCTGTCAAGACACGAGAAAGTCGCATGGGTTTCTTATCTTGGCCTAGAGAATCACCCCTATCACGAGAGGGCGAAGAAGCTTCTCCGCCCAAACGCCTTTGGTGGTGTTCTCAGCTTCGGGGTCAGGGGCGACGTTAGCGTGGCAAGCACGGTTGTCGACGGCCTTAAATTGGCCAGTAATCTCGCAAATGTCGGTGATGCCAAGACCCTTGTCATCCACCCTGCGTCGACGACGCACCAACAGCTCAGTGACGAGGAGCAGCTGTCTTCGGGGGTCACGCCTGATTTGATCCGGGTGCGTGATGCTTCTGATGGAAATGTTCAAATTTGACTGATTATTTGGGCAGGTATCCGTGGGCATCGAACACATCAGCGATATCGTCGCGGACTTTGAGCAGGCTTTGAGGCAAGCACCCTGATTTTCAAGAAGGAAAGAGATTTGTAATAGTACTGTTCCCTACATAGTATCAATTGGACACGGTCGCCACAAAAGTTACATGCACTGTTATAGAGTCTTACCGACTCTCTGCCGAATTAAAGGAACGAAATGGTTGATAAATCGCTCAAAATTTGCCGGGTGATGCATGTGCATGAGAGAGGAAACAAATACGACCAAGTTGATTAAGTAAGATTATTAACATGTTACAGCGATCTACTCACAGCTACCCTATTGTTTTCTTCCTCCCGCTGCCGCCTGCGTCGTTCCATTCTACTTTAGTTGTCCATTTTTATAGTAGTAAGCAGCTCTGGGTGACCAATAGTACCGTTCTCAATACTGTTCACACGGGCGACATCCCGCATATTTTGATACCTAATGCGTATTCTTGTGCAGCCTTCAGTGAGCGCGTGCATGTGGCAAACCCATTCTCTCGCGTATGTTTCTGAGCCTCTTGGATTGGGAATTAAGCACCCCTAGAATCTAGGTGGGCGGCTGGCACACCCTCAGACTGGACCCTAGACTTTCCGTAAGGCTTCGTTTCACAGTTGAACAATGTTTGTGATGCTGTACCACCGTGATACTCAGGAGTCAGAACCTTGATTATCATATTTATAGCAGGGTAGTCGGAGTCTGCACGCAAACCCACTTATCTCCCATTCTAACATCGAATTGTGATGGCTCAAGCAAACAAGTGAGTTACACGTCTTATTTCAAGTTCCCCAGCAGTCAACTTTTGGTCGAAGGCCCCAGGAATTCGAGACGCTGCAGTTGCACGCTGGTCAAGTTCCTGACCCTACAACCAATGCTCGCGCAGTTCCTATTTACGCCTCCACGAGCTTCGTCTTTAACAGCTTTCAAGTTGGTCACTTTGCACCAAGATTTGATTCAGGGGCTCATCATAACTCCAGCATGGCGCGGATCTTTGCAGCCTCAAGTTAGTTTCATCGAGGAAGGCGAATTGAACTTGATGGGACATCATACAGGGCTTTTGGACACATTTATTCTCGTATTGGCAACCCCACTGTCGTACGTGATTCTTTCTTCGATCCTCCTCTGCAGCCACGTACCTACCTCTATTCATGTAGGATGTCTTCGAGGCTCGAATGGCTGCCCTTGAAGGTGGTGTTGCAGCCGTCGCAACAGCCTCCGGTCAGTCTGCGCAATTCCTTGCTATATCCACCATAGCCAGTGCAGGTGACAACATCGTTTCAACGTAAGGCCCAGTCTTTCAGGTCTAGATTCGCGGTTGACATCTTGGCAACAGATCATATCTCTATGGAGGGGTAAGTCTATTATTTGTGGGAGTCGAGAGTTTGTTTTAACGGATGAGGTCGCTTGAAGACATACAACCAGTTCAAAGGTTCGTTTGTCAGTGTCTTACTACCGTATCATGACCCATGCGGTGCATAGTAACGTTCAAAAAGTTTGGTATCGGCGTGAAGTTTGTGAATGGCGATGACCCAGCGCTTTTCGCAGCGGCAATCGATGAGAACACGAAGGCAATTTACGTCGAGAGCATTGGTAACCCAAAGTATAACGTTGCGCCCATTCCTGAGCTGGCAAAAGTGCGCATGCTAATCATTGTCAATGGACCGCTGCTCATGTTAAGTCAACAGGTTGCACATGATCACGGCATCCCCTTAATCGTGGACAATACGTTTGGAATTGGAGGGTACCTCATCAAACCCATCGATTTGGGCGCAGACATTGTTTGTGAGCATATCCTTCACGTAGGCGATCCGAAGCTCATATGTATGGTCATCAGTGCACAGTGCAACCAAGTGGATCGGAGGCCATGGAACGACGATTGCAGGTGTTGTCATCGATTCGGGTGCGTTTACTTCACGATCGCTTTCAATCTGCATAACTCATCTTTCCTGTCAGGCAAATTCAACTGGGCACGCTCCGGCAAGTTCCCATCGTTCACGTCTCCCTCCGAGGCGTACCATGGCTTGATCTTCCACGACACATTCGGTGCTGTCGCTTTCGCTACCAAGCTTCGCATCGAGCTCCTCCGTGATTTGGGTCCAGCCTTGAACCCATTCGCCGCATTCTTGCTCATCCAAGGTATTGAAACGCTTAGCTTGAGGGCTCAGAGGCACTCCGAAAACGCTTTGGCGCTTGCTCAGTAAGTTGTCATGCACTGATCCGTGCGTAAACTGTTATCGTTTTTAGGTGGCTGTCAAGACACGAGAAAGTCGCATGGGTTTCTTATCTTGGCCTAGAGAGTCACCCGTATCACGAGAGGGCGAAGAAGCTTCTCCGCCCAAACGCCTTTGGTGGTGTTCTCAGCTTCGGGGTCAGAGGCGACGTTAGCGTGGCAGGCACGGTTGTCGACGGCCTGAAACTAGCTAGTCATCTCGCGAACGTCGGTGATGCCAAGACCCTTGTCATCCACCCTGCGTCGACGACGCATCAACAACTGAGTGATGAGGAGCAGCTGTCTTCGGGGGTCACGCCTGATTTGATCCGGGTGCGTGATGCTTCTGATGGAAATGTTCTTTGACTGATTGTTTGGGCAGGTGTCCGTGGGCATCGAACACATTAACGACATCATCGCGGACTTTGAGCAGGCTTTGAGGCAAGCACCTTGATTTTCAAAAAGGAAGAGATATGTAATAGTACTGTTCCCTTCATAGTATCATTAATTGGACACGGCCGGCAAAAAAATTACACGCACTGTTATAGGATTGTCGCCGACTCTCACGTAAAGGTCGATAAAGCTTAAAGCGCCCAAAAGTGCCATTCCTGGCATCTTTATTTCACGCAACTCTGCACCAGTGGTGCTGAGGCGAGTTATACTCTTGAAAAATAAAAGGTCATGGCCTGAGGACAGCTGGTGCTAGTACAGCTGCTCTGAGTACTGTTCGGGTAAATATCAGTACTGTGCATGTGACGTAAATTATGTTGGTGACTGGTGAGGTCCCCAACTAGTGAGCCTTACTAGAAATAATCATGGCGGCCTTTGCCACGTCGCTGTCATTCCCTTACCCACCTACTACGTCTCTAGGCTTGAAAGTGCAGAACACGACCCACTAGGCTTGCATTGAACACGACCGTCAACGACGACAACCTCAACACAGCGGGAACTATTGTCGGTTTGGTGACCAGCCAATCGGCGGGACGCACCGTGACAAGGTCCAGGCACTTTACCATAAATAAGTTCACTATCCTCGTCACTGCGTGAACACAGACGCTGTGTCAGGTATGTATTCAAATGTAGAACTCGTAGGTTCGCGCATCAGCGCAATATGCATTATTTTTGTTGTATCTCTTGTCGGTACGTTACTAGTATCCTCATGAGTAGCACTTGCTCTCTCCGAGTCTTGCGATTCTAGTGACTGTTTATTAGCATCATCATTTCCTTTGCTCTCAAAGCGCCTCACGTTTCTTCAAATACCTCGCATCGTCTTTTTTATTGGAAAACACTTTGGAACAGGTGAGATATCACACAGTTTTGAATATCAGGTTCTGACATTATATCACCAGGTGTCATCCTGTCCACAGCGTTCGTTCATCTCCTCCAAGACTCCTTCGAGGCTTTGAACAACCCAATTCTACGCTCGCAGTCGAAGATAGGGGATTTTACTGGTCTCATCGTGTACGTCACCCTGTCATTTCTTGCCTTCTCTCTGTAACAAATATATCCATTATATAGATTGGCCTCGCTTTTGTCTATCTTCTTGATTGAATGTGCGTATCCTGTATCGCCACAAAAATGAGCGCTCACTAATCGGCTGTCAGATGTATCCACTTCATACGTGGACCGGCTCCATTCATACGGTTCACCGACACCATCTCCACGATCGGCTACCCCGATAACTGCATCGACACCCATCTCTACGACACCTACCCGTCGCGTCGATACGCCTAAGCCACTGGAAAGCTCTGCTTCCCAATCTGAGCGCACGCATCTCGTACATTCTTATTCTCCACAAAGCCCTCGACGTACGCGATCGTTCTCGTATGGGTCTACGAGTCAGTCGCACAGGCACGATTCCTACTTCTTCGAAGGACATCATAGACACGAGGCTAGGTGCTCTCATGATACGCACCATGAACGCGGATTCAAGTTGTCGTCATCATATGACCCAGAAGAATTGGAACAGGGTATCGTGGCTGACATAGTTCATGACCGGGTGCTGCATGCTGAGCATGGGCATTCACATACGCTAGATTCTGAATTAAAGGAAGTTCAAGTTGGAAAGAAAAGGCAGATTGTCGGCATTCTCGTGAGTATTGCACTCGCTCGAACTCCTCGTGGATTAATCCGATTTCTAGGTGTTGCAATTAGGCATCATGATACATTCTGTCATTATAGGTCTAACGTTAGCGATCACTCAGGGCCCCGAGTTTGGTGCGTAGTTTTATTTACTTACATTGATCGATATCGAGCCCAAATTATATCACAGCGTCACTCCTCGTGGCTATTATTTTTCACCAGCTTTTTGAGGGGCTATCGCTCGGCATTCGGATAGCATCTCTTCCTTCGTCGGACGATGGAGGCACTAAATATATGGCCATTTTACGATCTACCCTTATCGTGCTTTTTGCAGTTACCAACCCTGTTGGCATTGTAATTGGTCTTTTGGCATTCAGGCGGGGTCATGACGTCGGTACGTACCACTGTGATATTTCATATCCTTGTTACCTTTTCTGACGCAGCCACAGTGGAAATGCTCCTCATTCAAGGAATCATGTCTGCAATTTCCGCAGGGATGTTGATGTACGCCGCATGTGTCGAGATGCTTGCGGGAGACTTCGTAATGGACCCGATTTTGTGGCGCAGCGAGCTTTGGAAACAGACACTTGCGTTGGTAAGCTTGGGCGCAGGAGTTGTGGCTATGGCACTCGTGGGGATGTGATATATAGTCGGCTTTAGTAGTATTGGCAATGGACGGTAGTCGAGAACATTTTGGTCGGCAACCTCCTGTTGCCTATCTCTCCATGACTACTTTGACATCTTGCATCATCCTGCTGTATTTACTGTCGGCATGATTGAACACGGACATAGACTGTCTGAGCTCAGTTTCTTTATAGGTGAATGTGGTGGATGATCGTGGATCGGACAAATTTCGGCGCTTGCCGTTCAGTTGTGTAGCCTATAGCAATCCTGCCGTGGAGAAATTATGCTCTCCTTCCAGTAACCTTCCAGCGTGGCATCCTAGCGCACGTCGATATCGTGGCTCACCTCTACTCACAAGCTCCAACCCAGGGCATCGTTCCGCTGGTCGGGATAGCGGCGCCTCATCCACAAAAGCATGTCCAGAAAATCAGTATCGTGGAATAGGTCTGGATCGTATGCATAGAAGGCTATCAAATGATCCTCCTGTTCGTAATAATTGGTACCCCACTACTCAAACATACCCTCTCACTTGCATCAATTTTCTCCCTAGGCGGCACCAGACGTGTTGCTAGGAAAGGAAATCACAATGAACAGACGCCTATTGATATTCGTGGCAGCGTGTGTTTCTGGTTCAGCTTCTACCCCCATTCATCCACCTGCTCTGCATGCCTACCTGGACGATCATCTCACCGTGCGAGAAAGACTATGATCATCCGATGCGCATGAACATATTTCGGGTCATGAAAACAGTTTACCGCATGTTGGACTCATCGAATGAGCCGTCCGCAGTTGACGAAGGAAAACACATCGCGACCCTCGGGTATGCAGTGTCGCAGGAAAAACCAGGACCTCCTGACCTATCGAGTGTTGTGATCCATTTCCGTCTCTCAACGCAGTTTGCTACGCATTTTGTTATCACGTTCTGTGATTTGCAGATCGTAGACATGGCGCGGAACATGTGCATTCCCATCCCATGTGAACTTGCGCCGGTCATGGCAGACATTTATGAATTCTTAGTCGCGAGGTCGGCCTCCTGTCGTGGGTTGAACAACCCAGTGGAGGAGTGTGACCTCGCACGTAGGATATGGAAACAGCTGCAGGCGGAGGTAAGGTCGGATCGTACTCATTCATTGTCGTAGTGCGAATTGACTGCTGTAGAAATACCACAAACGGCTTTTACAACAAGAGATTATTAGTGACATAGACATCGTCTGTTTACGACCAGGCTCTCCGCGATGTTCTATATGCGACTCCAATCTTATCCACTGCAACAGCTGTCAGGTCGCATCATGCGAGTCGGATAACTGTCCAGGATCTTCTGAACCCCCGCTCGCGCGGTGCGGCAGGCATCAAAAAGAGGTGTTATGTTTCCCATGTCTTGAAGAGCAGGGGTGCAAGGCGGAGTTAGAAAAGTGTCCTGAGTGTAAATCGTGGTGTTGCACGAGGGACATGTCATCGTGTAGCGGTCATCCCATCGACATTCAACTTATTCCTGGCTTACCCGGGAGCAAGCCCGTACTTCCTGACCTGATCGTCGCATACGCCAAATCCGCACGTGTCCACTCTCCGAAGCGCGGTTGCTGTATGGAATGCGAGCTCCCCGGGTGGCGGAGCTGCAACAGCACACTATGTTGGTCTCAAACGATCTGCCCAGAGTGCGCAAGCAGTGGTGTGACATGTCTGTGTCAGGAAGTATGGGCATGCGACCTCTGCGCAGAGCATAGTCCGAGGGTTTTCATTCGCTGTCCGCGCTGCGACCGGCCGTTCTGCTGCTCTTGCTCTTATATCGATGAATGTCAAGAGTGCCACCGCGCGCACCTCTGCTATGACTGCGCTGAAGAAGATTCGGATATGGACGACGGGGTGATGATGGAACTTCCTAAATTTGTCGCGTCGTGTGGAAGTTGTCAGGCGAAGGTATGCGATCGCTGCGTGTCGCATCCGGCCTTTTCGTGTGCGGGGTGCTCGCAGCGGCTTTGCCCGTCGTGCCGCATGTCGTTGTGTGATGACTGTAAACAGTGGCTTGCGAGTGATGATGAGGAAAGTGGAGCTAGCGGAGACACTGGCGGCGCTGACCTTGACGTTTAGGTACCCCTGTGAACCATCACATTGTATTATTTAAAAAAATTAATATCTGAATGATTTTTAAGCACGTGACCTAGACGCGTTGCTGCGTAGCAAACAAAGCATAATAGCTTTTATTTACATGCCTTCTTGCCCTGTCATCCGCCACCCGACCTATACGATTTCGATAAACCCAGGAGGAATATCACGACTGACGACATCATCCTCATGCCAGCGTCTTTGATAGAGCGGCCAAGACGGATTACGGAGACAACCGTCTCGGCCATGCTGGCTGCGGCTGGAATGGTCGTATTTAAGATCCCGCAGGCGCTCTTCAAACTTTTGGGAAAGATTTCCTTGTATTCATTTGTCTTAACTTTCCACCTGGCCTTCGTGATCTACCACAGTACTAAACCATCGGGTGACGACGCAAGAGGGTCTCGTAAGCCTGAGGAGCCAGCAGTGTCAACTCGCGATTATCGTTTCTCGTCGATCAGGCTCCCGAGTAGTGTTCTTGGCGAACTCGTCTCTTCCAACAATGAGGGAGATACCCCCTTTATCGCTAACATCCCCTGTCCACGTTCGAGAAGTTCAACTACCTCTTCCGAGATTGCGAGGCACTCTTCGAGCAACACCTCTGTAGTAACGCTTGTCGAAGTAAGTCACATAGACATACGAGTAGTTAACGAGGCTAAGTCGAACATAAAAGACTGATCCGTCGAAGGAAGCCGTAGATGCCTACCCGACAACACCAACCCCCACCAGAAAGCACGGCACTATCTTTCCCGATAGTGAATGGGCCACCATGAATGCTACGCAGATTCGCAGGATTCGTCGGGCCGTGAAGCGCGTTCAATACAAAGCAGAACACAAGCCGCCATCCAGGGATGTCAGAAGCAAGATAAAGAAGAAAGATAAAGATGTCATGGAAAACGATCAAGGACACGAACAGGGAATCAGCAAGGAAGACGAACAAGACGACGCCAAAGAAAGCCTGATGAAGGACGACAAAGATGACCAGAAATACGTCAAGGAGAGTTACAACGAGGGTGCTAAGGATGATGACACGGAAGACGACGACGAAGGCCTGGAAGGCCTCATGGAGGATGTTCCAGTGCACGACAAGGAAGACGACACGGAAGACGACGACGAAGGCCTGGAAGGCCTTATGGATGACGTCCCAGTGCACGACAAGGAAGACGACACAGAAGACGACAATGAACTTGAAGGCCTCATTGATGAGGTTTTAGTGCAGGACAAAGGCGTCGAGGAAAATATTATGAAAAAAGATGACGGGTGCGTCAAGGAAGGTGCGGCAGCAGGCAACAACGAACTCGCAGAGGACGACAATAGGGGCGTTGAGAAACAATTCGGGGGAGAGAACGAAGACGTGAAAGAAAAAGTCACAGAGGACGGCAACATATGCTTGGAGGAAAATTTTATGGAAGACGACCAGGGCGGCGAAGAAGACATCACGAAGGTCGACCTCGAAGGTGTCGAGGACGATGTTGCGGTATACGACAGCGAAGGTGTCGATGAAGGCGTCAAAGAATGCGAATACGAATGCGTCCAAGATGACGTCCCAGAGGAGCATAACGAGGTCGTCATTAATGGAGATGACAACGAAGGTCATACGAAAACCGCAGCAGATGGCGCATGCAAATCCATACATTCAACGTACCACCGTGATCTATGTCAGCGGAACGACGTTATTATGATTCCCTCGCTCATCAAGGGCTGGCCCCCGGTCTTGCTATCAGAACCCATCATGAATGGACTGGACCCTATCGATTTCAAGATCATGCAATTGGAATGCGAATATCACCTATCCCGCGAGGAACCGCACAACGGCCGCTTCGTTTGACATGACGAAAGGAGTCCCGACAGAGAGTACAAGATCCTACCGGTACCCTCGAACATGCTGGAGCAGATGCGATCGAAGAAGTAGATCTACCTTGATGCCTATTTATTTGCGAAATGTATTTCTTGACTGATGTTGATGTATGGTTGATATTTCCTTCTCTGATCGAGCCTGTACAGTATTCGCAGGAGAGCTGTCTCCGAGATTGCACTTCTGTCGGTACATTCTCGGTCACATTTATATTAGTGTCAAAGTCGCGGAATACAAGTACAGACAGACTGAGACAGTTACAGTCAAGGACTTCGAAATAGAGGCTCGAGAGAGACAGATGGTGAGTCAGGCTCGACCAGGGGATGGTGGGAGGGAAGCTTAAAAACGCAGTTGAGCAGATAGTGCTTTGCGAAAGCAAGAACGACGACGGAAAATCTTAGCTCATCAGTAAGTATATACGTTTTGATAGAGGGGCCTCATGTGTAAGCCGCGGAGGCTGAGTCATGAATAAGATTTGACCGGTGTCGCGAATCGATTCAACTTGGTCAAACGAGTTAAACCGCGACTAAAGAAAGAGCTTCCTGCTCATTGCTCAACCTCTGAACGTCGCAACTTACATAAGAGAATCGTTGCCAACAAACAATCATGGGTCTCGTGGTAGATGATCCGTACTAGTGGGCTCTCCGATTATTCCCAAGTGGGCACTCCCCTTCCACGAACAATCCCGACGAGCACTCCTTTACCCTTCGAGTAATTCCGATACCGACACCCAGCTAATGCAAGACCGTGATGGTTCAGTTGTTCTGTGAGGTTTAGGAAACCTTAATCCTCGTTATCCTTCAGGCATGCCCAATTCTCGTCCCTCTGGAACCACACCAGTCCTTTAGGAAGGATAATGGTCTGTAGGGTTGGGCACGCTTTGCTCCATGCTTCCGCGATGTTCTTTTCATCGTTCAAGGAAGTCGGTATACCTGGCGCCATGAACGTGATGTATCTCAAGGCTTTGAACTGCGCGAGACTCGAGCCGATCCCGAGTAGAATTTCCTGTAAAAAATAAGTAAACGAAAGAGATGAAGCCATGCATGAGATGAAAAACTAACATGGGTGGAGTCAGGCGTGAGAACCACGAGATGGAAAGCCTCAAGATGAGGTAGCCGGTCTGCGATGAGAGGAAGGAGTGCGACAGGGGGGTCGCTTTCCAAGATCAAGACAGTGAGCCTCTTTATCGCTGTAGATGATAGTAACAACGTGTTGAGGGATGCACAGACGTCCCCGCGGTGAAGCGACATGGAAACGCTCTCCACAGGTCTACCTCTCAAGACCTCTCCGATAATGCTAGGGTAAGACATAACGGTCCTAAAATGTCCCAGCTCAGGGAGCGCCTTAGGTTCCAGCGCAAAGTCATACTCCTTATTCAACCCTCTCAGACAAAGCTCGGTTATCTTCGGCTGCATAGCCAGGAATTTCGCCAGCGAGCGGTCGCACCGCATGGATGAGGTGAAGGTCCTGAGCGAGAAGGAACACCCCTGGAATATCCATGCGACATCAGCAGTGTTGTCTGTCTGGGAGAAGTTGAGGGTAAGTGCTGTGAGCGATTTGAGTTGCTGGAGCGCGCGATTTAAGAGGCGGAGGATATTGGCGGTGATGAGGTTGTCGGCAAAGTCGAGATCGATAGAACGGACTTGTCGGGAATATGGGGCATTAGAAGCAAGGGTCTTTATAAGTTTCAAGGCTTTGACTGACGACGTTTCTGATATGTTACGATAGACCGCACGAAATGCAGTATTGTGGAATATGGAGTTGCTGCTCAGGACTGGGATGAGTTCGCGACGTTCCAGGTAATTGAAGATGAATTCAAGGATCTCGACAGGTAGTACGGAGGATGTCGAGTGGACACCGTCCATGATCAAGACACCGTTCCTTGTGTGTGAAGTCGATTGATCTGATAACGAGGGCTGAGGTCAAGAACAGCAGTACTGTCAGTAGTATATGATTATTATAGTACCACGGCCACACTGGGTTTTCTCCACTCCGCGAAACAAAAAAAATCAATTAACTATATATTTATTATTGCATGTCTACGGGTATTGGATGAATGAAATCATGCAAGTGTGTCCATCTTATCACCGCATCTAGATCCATAAACCAATTACTGGACTTTAACGGTCTTTGGGGCAGGCATGCTCCCCTCAGCAATAGCCTCTGCACGTAGACCCTCGGCCTCAATTTCTGCAATGAGATTGCGTTCAGCCTCTTCACGCTCAGACTTGCTCTTGTTCTTCATTGCCGCCTTTTGGGCATCGATGCGTGCACGATACTCGCGGTACTTGTCATCAGTGCCAAAAATGCGGTCGCACCACCGGAAAGAGGTGGAAAAGTTGTTCGTGAAGGCCATGTGGTGGAAATCATGATGCTCGGCGCCTGACCAGAAGGGGATGATATGCTGCAGCGACCAGGGGAAGTCTAAGGAAAAAGAACATGTTAGCACTGACGATCAGCTACTATGGATAGCCACCAACCGTAGCCACTGTGAGCATCGATAGCTTGGAAGAGACGAAGCGTAATCCAAATGTAGACCGTAAAAATGTGCAAGTTACGGGTGTACCAGCAGTACAAGATGGGTCCAGCAATGGTGCCAGTACCAAGAATGAAGACTTCAGCAGGGTGGGCATATTCAGCAGCAAGACCGAAAGGTGCCGAATACTTGTGATGAATCTTGTGAATATGCTTGTACAATGCGCCGGTGTGAAGTGCCTGGTGGGCTACAACGATATCATCAGTAAGGATGAGCAGGGACGTCTTAAAATTCACACACCAAAGTAGTGGAACATATCTTCAAAGACAAAGAAAATAGCGATTTGCGGGAGCATGGTTGTCCATGAAGGGAAAGGAACCTGCCAGGTACTCATACCAAAGTTCTCTGCCATAGGGTGGAATAACCATATCTTGCGGAGAGAAAGAATTAGTTTCGAATGTCAGATGCAGGGACTAGGCTCACAGCTGGAAGCTCAATGGTGAAATGCGAGAACAGCACCATTTTCGTACACTCCCACTGCTCTTGGGCAGTGGGAACCTTGTTAGGCTGGAGTTTCCACCGACGGAAGTAAGGAACAGCGTCGATAATAATCCAAGGGATGGAACGTCCAAAGTATACAAACTGAAGCCATTGAGCAACTGTTCATGGACTCTGAATGAGAGAAAAAATACCTCGTGGAGCAAGAAACTCATGAGGCCCGTTGCAATGATTGGGTTGTCAATCCGGATGTACCAAGCAGCCCACATCTGCTCAAGCCAACTGAGTTTCGTGAAATCGATGTTTGCATAGAGCTGCTGAGTAGTAGTCTGAGCCACAGCGGCGACAATCGTCGCGTTGAAAGTCATGATGGTCGAAGCAAAAAAGACAGACACTTAAATTCAACCACACCGCGAGGTTTTGAAGGAAAACAAGTGAAAGTGAAAATCGCGTTTCGAAGAACCACACCACTTTTAAGTAATAATTTATGGCGTGAGCCGTCGGACAACGACTCAACCAATCACAACCGGCTTACCTAATCCATGTTCATTCCCATTCGTGAGTCTCTCAGGCTACGTACGTCTTCCAGCCTGTCTCCCAGTACTGCCTATTTATTCAGACCAATTACAAAGTGACATGCAAAATTAGGTCAGTGATGGGCCTTGGTGTGTATGTTACTATGATTAATTCTTTGTTGACGATTGCTAGTTCCCTGTCATGATTATCCTTCAGTGCTTTGACAGTCGTAGGTTATGGAGGCTATATTGTATCACAGAAAATCGCCATCAAGGTATCAAATGTAGCCGAACAAAGTAAGTATTACAGTGGTAAAACGAAGGAGTAATGGTATAATAATTGATAGATAATACACATCTAAGGGAGTTCGATAGCGCGTCTGCCGGGAACATATAGCTCGGGCTCCCCCCGCGAATTTTGGCGCACCCTGTACGGGTCCCTCTCCAATCGGTTCAGTTGAGGCAAATAAGGCGTTGATAGTATGGGTTCATGCTCTAGAGTAAGAGAATTCTCTACCTCGTACTCCTCATCTGTATCATGGTCTTGGTCGATTGCGTTGACATGCTTGTTCTCTGGGGGATAGAAGCATCGTGTGGGAATTGGAAAAAATTTGGCGACTTTTTGATGCGGTGACGGAGGGGTTTCCTTGATTTTTTTCCGAGGTGAGTCCTCAGGGTTGTTGGTCTCCTCTTCTTCGACCTGAAGTTGTCGTTTGCGGCTCTTATGTGCGGGTGTAAGTTCAGTCCATTTCCTAAAAATGACACATTAGAAGAAACTGATTGGATTCAAGTAAGTTACGCACCGAGATGTGTCATCCTCGCCGCTGGAATACTCATCGTCTGAAACATCTCCCCGACGCCAGTCGGGGCTACATGGCTGGTGCGAAATCCCTTGTGGAGAGGAATTAGGACTCTCATCTACGGGCAGAGGCGCAGAATTTTCCCTAAACAACACAATCAGAATTTAACAATTCACGCAAGTTGAATCTAGTCACGTACCGAAAGTTGGCTTTACCATCGCTGAAAGGCTCGTGGAGGTACTGTTGAGGGTAGTTTGGGCTGCAGCTCGCGGGTGGAGACTCAGACCTTTCGCTAAAAACTGCAGGTCAGACACTAACACTTGGTGCAAATTTAAGTCAGGTACGTACCGAGAACCATCATCACCGTCACGACCATATTTTTCATCTTCTGCATCTTGCGGGCCCTTCTCACTCTCACCGGCACCGCCGCCAAGATCCTCCTCTTCCGCATCTTGATGATCCACTTCACCCTCGCTGCTGCCGTTCGAATCTTCATAATCTACGTCTTGTAGTTCCTCTTCATCTTCGTCGTCCAGGTTGTCATCGTGAGTCTTCACCGACCGCTCGACTTTCCTGATCATCTTGCGCACAAAGTTCTTCCCAGCGACAGATCCCAGGCGGTTCAAGAAATTCTGCATTCTATCCCTCTCGGCCTTGAGTTCGGCCTCTGCGAGAGTTGCATCGGCCAGAGCTTCAGCGGCCTCGGTTCGTGCATACCCAAGTTCAGTGTTGACATGAGTGCGGCTGCGATGAACGTCGGCGACCATCTGTGCAAACCACGTAGGATCGTTGGCGAGAGGAGGTGGAGGAGGGTAGTTGAACTCCATGAGAGGCGGATCGAGGGAAGCAGTAGGATTTGGGACGCGTGCATTGCGAGGTTTGTCGCCTGGTGGCGAAGGGAATCGTTCGAAAGGGTATTCGGCCCATGCATCACCCCCAGATTCTTCAGAGTCGGACATGTCGTCATGAGCAGAATGATCGACTTCCTTCTCCTTGCCTTTACCCTTCGGGTCTGAGTTAGCGGCAGTTGGGGTGGCTTGGGTTGGGTTCTGATGTTCAGCGTCGATCGACATTACAGCAATATTCTGTCGTCAGCTTTGTAGGCTAGTAATCAAGTACAGGAGGAGGTACAAATTCAAAGTCAAGAAGCAATGGATCGTTTAAAATACCTATAACAAACCGTCCACAACGTCTTAAAGCCACTTGTGGTGGGCCAAAACATCGGGTTATTGTCTAGTTCAAGTCCACAGCCTGCCGCTCACGGAAACCCCTAGGATCCCCAATAAGTCTGGGTGCTTGTGGGACCGTTACCTTTTGGGGATGTGGTGAGACATAATATCCGACTTGCAGGTTCCATCAACGCTATTGTGGGCTTCATTTGGTTGTCTATTGTACTTCGTGGGTCAAAGCTACGGGGTCTGTGACTGACGAAGTTCGGGATGGTGCGTACCTGTGGTTAGTATTTAATTGGTTCCTAGTACTGTTGCGCAGCCGCAGTGATTACAACACGAAAATTGGCAATAGCTCTCTCACAGTTCGGATGCAGCCTTTAGAATAAAGCAAGACTCGGAGTTCGATCGGGAACGTGGAGCCAATTTCAAAGTGACGAGTGAGTCATAAGATGAGTTCGTAATGTGGTTAAATCGTATACACAAGCTCAGTCAATACTCCTGGTTGACGTTTTGTTGGGACAGCGTGGCAGCGTGGTGCCAGTATGATGGTGGGTACCATCGCAGTATCCTGGACTCTGGACTCTTTCAAGATGCGCATGTTCTGACCCCATCAGCAACTGATTCACCATCACCAGAATGCACTTCCTCAGCCAATGATACAAAGACCAAGGTACCACGTGCCACTATGCCGACATGGCTCGCCGATGAGTACGCAGATGCCCGCACTCGTCTCGATTCTGAAATTGCGAAGACCGGGAGACCAGTTTGCTACGAGAGTGGGCAGTTCATGATAACTGCCCCTCCGCTGGTGTTTTCCCGTGTTGTCCCTTTTGAGATCGAGCCCTTGGACTTCTACCGGCCGCGTTTTTCCATATGGCTTTCCCACCTCTTCTAGCGCATTCCTTGTCCAAACTGCAAGGATGCAAACCGACGATCCAAGAGGGGGCAGCCAGTCGTGCTTCGTGTTCTTGGTTGGTCACAGCAGCCACGGCGCGTTGTCGATCTTGAGCACTTGGTGTTCATCGTTGGACACCGGTATTATTGTGGGCACGAGGAGTGCAAGAAGACATTTCAGAGTTGGCCGCCTGCAATTTTACAAGCCATACCACCACCACTTGCAGCCCTCTTTCCGTTCCACCTAACATACATGAGTTGTGACGTTGATATTTGTCCCTTCGTGAGGCTCTAGCTGGCATATAAACGTTCATTCCGGGTTGAGATTCTTGGGTTCACAAAGCTGCCTCAGGTAGTAATGGCATCGCAAGGCCCACAGAAGGCGCCGGCCCGAGTTGGCTGGCCACTGACTGAGAGCTCAATGCTAAACCGGGCCACTCGCGAAAATCTTCTTCCTTTCCATTCACGACAGATTGACAGTGTCGGATCAGTTGCATGAGAATAGAGAGAAGCGTCCTGTATGAGTGAAATGCAGTTGTTTTGGCAGTGGCGCTCAACCAGAAGGTGAACATGCGAATGGTATTCTTCCCGCATGACAACGGAGGTAAACGGGACCGACTCGTGCAAGAGCTATAGGTTTTCGCTCAAGAATATCATCACCAAAATTGCCAAATCAGATACCACGTGCCGCATCAGGTGCTTCAGAGATGCCTCGAAGTGAACGTAAAAAATTATAGCTGATGGGGCTGTCGGCGACCAGAACTGTGATAGTGGGAAGTAGCACACAATGCAACCCGTGTCAACTTTGAGAGGAAAGTCAAGTTGTCTGCCTCTTCGTTTTAGCCAGCTAGAAAAAGAAAGCGCATGTGGGGTGGCGGAATAATTGAATGGTAAAAGGATCACACTTCAGTACCATACCTCATTTTGTCCGAGGGTTGTCTGTAAACGGTTCACGATCAGCCACGCAACTTGGAGAGTATCGCAGTGTATCCAGAGATACTTGATGCGTGGTAACACCAAGTGGAGCCAGTTCATGATTACAATCGTGCCTGTTTACAGATATACAAAGTTAGGTCTAACGATGAGTTTGAGTCGGGATCCTGTCGGATAGACAACGAAAAAACGCAAGACGAACTCATTTGCACAAAAAATTCAAGTTTCTAGAATAAACACCTTTTATTTGCCCGGTGCGCATAGTTCCCTGATCACGTTCTCATCGATCCTTTTCGCAAAGCATATCTTAAACGGAGCAGCATGTATGTTTGCAGTGTCCGAGAATGCAAGCGTGTCAATCTTCGCTGCAGAATTCTCCGAAAGGCGGAAAGCCCACATAATGAGAGCTGTATTGATGAAGACCGACCGATTCGCGAGATGTTGACCGGGACATACTCTGACATTTTCAAGTAAGGCATAAGAAATGGTCGAGAGATGAACGATACTACTCACCGACGGCCAAAGCCAAAAGTGAAAAACCGGAGATCATCGCGCACACGACCTGCATCGTCAATCCAACGCTGAGGATTAAACCTGTGTGGTTCGGGGAAGACTTCAGGATCGTTTGCGATAGCCCTGAAGCACGAGCGTCAGACCCAAAGGTGAGAGGACGAAAATGATTGCGTACTGACCAATGGTTGCCAATAGCAGTCGCACCTGCAGGAATGAGGTAGTTCTTCCAAATGATATCCTTAATCGCGCGATGCGCAAAGCCTGTAGTGCAAGGTGGTCATTCAACATCGCGTCATCACAACTCAAATAAAACGTACCTCCAAGACTGACAGGTCTCCACCTGAGACTCTCGAGCATGAACGCGGTAACCTGCGGCAGCATTTCCTGATCAGCAAACGTCGGCACTAATCAGGAGCTATCTCAGTCAGTAGACGAATAAAGGAAAGGGATAACCTACGCCGCGTATGCCCCACGACGTCATCGAGTTCCTCTTGTAAGCGATCCTGCGCATCTTTATGAGTGGCAGCAGCCATCATCATAATTGTGATTGCAGACGCAGTCTACAAGAGTTGTTGAGTGAAGACGCGATGCAATGTAAGAACTTACCGCATCAGAACCGGCCCCAAATATCACTCCTCCAAGGAATGCCAGTTCCTTATCCCCGAGCTGGTACTGTTTCTGGTGCTCTAACATGAACCTCGCAAAGGATGGCCTTGCAGTCCCCTCACGCTTCACAGTGGTGAGCGAGCATATCTATCATCGCAAGAAAATAACGAACCATCTGTCTTCGCACTGCATCTAACTGCCCGTTATAGAAAGCAAGTTCTTCTCCGTGCCATGCCTTCAGCTGACTCAGGTAGCCTGGTACGAAACGCAGGATTGGATACACATCCACAAGATATGCTCCCGGCTTCACAGCTTGACCAAGACGCGCAGAAAACCTATTCATGTCAATGACTTCAGGATCTGTATATGAAGTCGGAGTAATTTTTCCGTAGGTGAAGGACATGATCACAGAAGCTGAATAACTAAAATCCTCGTATTATCACCTGTACCGCGACTAAGAGCTGGTGTTCGTACCGCATGACATGTCTCTGGTGGTTCTTTGAATCATTTAAGATATCTAGAACCACATTCTTCGCATGCCTGATCTGCATGGGCTCATAGGTCTCCGCAACCTTAGGTTGCAAGTTTGCATGCAAGACCCTGCTTTACATTTAGTCTCACTGATCGCACCTGGTAGAGACAGGATGTGTACCTGCGCATCCGGCGCCATCTCTCAGTACTACCCTCAAGGATCACTCTGAATCCGCCAGACAACGTCTCGTGCACTGCAATAGAACGTGGGCGGTCGGCAACATTTGCTCCCTCTTTTTCCATGATATCCATTGCAGCCTGTGACGTGATCTACTTCATGCCTGACTAGACGATGTATTGTTTGATGCTGACCTGATGACGTCCTATAACTACGAAAATCCTATGGCCTTGTTTGAGCGAGAACACAGGTCCGTATTGTTCTGTCCATCTTGCGAATTGAAACGGCACACTGCGTGAGGGGTTAGATAGAGCTCATGCTGGTGTCCCTTGAAAATGACTTACGATGACTTTGGCATCGCATTTCCTAATAGCCAACGTCCAGGCGGTCCAGGCGGTAATGGCAATCGTCTTGCGGTCTGGTATCGTTGTTTCACTATCCAGACGCTGGCTAAGATAATGATAAGGGTGCATGCGGCAATGACAAGCGCCATTAAAATGGTCTGGCTTGTTGCTAGTCACGATTCAGACACCCCGCTATTTTTCAAAACGTTAAGTACTTCAGAACAGAGAGGTGGTGACTTAGTGTGATGAGCGACGGGTAGGGTGAGATTAGAGTGCATGATTACACTGACTTATACTTATACAGACACACCTGCGCGGATTAATCGGGTCACCTGCATGAGTTCACGTATCCGAGTACGGTCTTCGTATAGTATAGGAACCTGATGTGACTACCCTGGTGATAAGTTATAGTAGTGGACGCGCATATTCCAAGACATTTCGATACCACCTGAAGATGAAGGTAGATCTTCACGTTGTTCTCGATGACCCGTTGGATTGCCAGTTGTGCCATAATAGGACTGTCGACCGTTAGGTTTACAAAACGTTGTAATAGAGTTCGGGTCATCATTCTAAAAATACAACTTTGTACTGCCTAATTTGAAAATTTAAGATTATGTAAATAGTTACAAATACTGCCAAGAGCTATTGGCAAGATTTTGACTTGTTGTGCTGTGGTAAACCTTTTAAATTTGCGTGCTCGAGTGACGGTGTATATGAGATAAGTAACTGCGGATAGCGCTGGCAGCGCCCATCCGCCGAGTCTCGTAGGTAGGGTTCGGAGTACAAAGTTCTATTTTTAGAATGATGACCCCGAACCTCTATTAGTACAACGTTTTGTAAACCTAACGGTCGACAGTCCTATGGCACAACTGGCAATCCAACGGGTCATCGAGAACAACGTGAAGATCTGGAAGTTCGGGATGGTGTGTACCTTAGACTTTAGTGGTTATTTAATTGGTCCCTAGTTGCACAGCTGCAGTGATTACAGGTGAAAACTGATAATATTTGGTTCTCTCCACAGTTCGGATGCAGCCTTTTAGGCAAGACTCGCCGAGAGGGACGTGGAGCCAATTTCAAATTGACGAGTCCACTTATTCTTCGTAACGACATATTTCTCCCTATGGCCAGCATTGCTTGGCATACATTTCGAACTAGTTGACGGGCAACTGATCCTCTGGACGTTTCAATATAATTGTCCTCACCTCAGATCTGAGATGACCCCGATCTCTGAAGAACTTGGAACGTGCTGTGGAAGGACAACAAAATTATATCGTCATCATATACTTGCTATGATCTAGTTTCATAATCTGATTGTTCTGGGCAGCTGATAGACCTTATAGTCAACTTCGAAAGACACGCAGCAGGCATCAACTACATATTAAGGTTTTGAAAAGTCTGCTTGTCGTGAACTGTAAACTGCAGTCCCATCGTCTAGCCTGATTACACTCGTACATATAGACCTACTTACAATATGCCCAGTCTCACCTTCCCTTTGATGATGATTGCTTCTGGCAAGGTCTCTTCCGCCGCAGACCACGCACTCAGAAACGCTGAAGGTACTTATCATATTGTTCGAGTACCTCAGGTCAATGCTCATTCTACGGTTTCATAGATATCACTCGTGAGTATGTCCGATAGCGTGTGGAGCACGAGCTTAATATTCCGCACTGCACCTGAAGTTTTGCAGAGATTGCATCGAGAACGTGAAGCTTGGTGACGGACAAGTCATCTACGTACTCCAGACTTCTGCTGTCGACAGTATCGTAGTAGTCAAGAAGATTCTCATTGACCCTTTCGAGGTCAGTCCATGTTATCGACGGTGTTCATCCATCCCCTAGAACGGTGTTCGCAACCTTCATTTCAGGTTGACATTGCCATCGACACGAATGCCCTGATTGTCACAGTTCAAATCTATATAGATTTGCCTATTGTTGGACCCCTCCTTCTCGCCCAGGCTATGGGTGCTCTCAAGTTCAGCAGCGGCATCAAAATCGACTTCAATGGGACACCTGGAGACCTGGCGTCTGGGGTCGCTGGTGTCAAAATGGATGCGATCAACAATGTTGTACTATCCTGGGACTTTACATCTCTTGGAGAGGAGACGAAGGGCTCCTATATCATCGTCCACATCTGAACTTCTAGGTACTGCTTCTGCGACATGATTATTATCGGAATGGCTTAAACTTAGTCCAGTCTCCTACAGCT